TAAATTTATGTTTTTGAGGGTACCGAGACAAAAACATTTTTGTTGCTTTCAGTGATATGCCTGATGGACCGAATATCCTTGGTGACGAAACCCTGAAGAAAATTGGGGCCAAGTATGGAAAATCAACCGCTCAGGTGATCCTCAGGTTTTTTATTCAGAAGAATATCGTTGTAATACCGAAAAGTTCAAACCCTACCAGGCTTAAGGAAAATTTCAATCTGTTCGACTTTTCCCTCAGCATGGATGATGTGAAAGAAATTGAGAATCTTGATAAAGGAGAAAGTGGGAGATTATTTAGATTGTCACAATTCATTCCTAGGTGAGTATATTCAATTTTTTCTTACCCATCACTGACAATTCCCTGTTCTAATATTGTTCTTCTATTTGTGCATGATAATTTGATGAAATCAAACTTCCTTGAAATGTCTGACATATTCTGAATAATTTTATTTTTCAGCCTAAAAGAACATGTGGATTACCCGTACCCTTACTAGAAGTGACACAACTACAACTCAGATTCATAATATTCAATGGACATACGAGTATTCACACTACATTGAATAGATATATGAAATAGATGAATGAAAAAAGCATTATGAGTATGTAATTTGTCTATCGTTTTTATAATACTTTAAGTTCAAACTGACGCCGGTGAATGCATAAATTTATGTACCCTGAAGATGCCAACCACTCGTGACAACGAAGGGTTCACCTAGGATTTTGGGATGGGGGATTCAATCAGAATTTTGTTTCGGGAGATGACTGAATTTAAAATACACATCTCGATATTTCAATTGANAAGGTAAAAAAAAACATTCTCCGATTGATGAACTTGTTTTTTTTTACCTTGGGAGCTGTCTGACTTGTCCATTTAGTCCAAGTCTCCAGAAAACACTTCAGCCCCTTGGGCTTATTGCGTTTATTCTCCCATCTTCTCATGACACCCATTCCATCAGTCTCGTTCCCTGTACTAGTTTGTACAGGTTCCGTGTTGGATGTTCCTCTAAGCGGACAATGACCGCTTAGTAACCCTGTAATTATTCTGAGCCGATCCCTACTATATTGAAGTAGTTCTTCGCTTCTTTTCTCGGACGGTTCCCTAATGAAGGTTCTACTCTGTGTGCTTCTTATTGGTCCATGTCCTAATCTGGTTTCGTACCAATGATTTTGGTACCTCCAGAGCGGGGACCTATATATGAAGTTGATGATCCGCGTTTAGAGCATTCATCAGCTTTATCATTACCTGTGATTCCTGAATGCCCTGGCACCCAGTACAAAGTTAATTTGTTCCTGTTTGCAAGTTCATTCATTTCTTCATGGCATTCCCAGACCAGTTTTGATGTCACCTTCGTATTTGTCAGAGCCCCTAGAGCGCTCTTGCTGTCTGTAAAAATACTGATTCGCTCATTTCTTTGAGGTCTCTATTTAATAAGCCTTGCACACTGCAAGATAGCATACACTTCCGCCTGAAAGACGGATGTGTATAGTCCTAGCGGATAGCTGTATCTACCGTGTTAATATTTTGGGCAGTATAAAAAGGTACTGCTTTCGTTTTGGAGGTATTCAAAAACAATGAATTTTCACTGAACCAATTTTGCAAGCTATCAAGATCATAGATTCAACATAGATAACTACATTGTCAGAAAACATGACGTTCTATGACGAAGTTAATGTCATTTTGGGATTCAGCACACCCAAAAACAAAAGATTTGTCCACAAACAAAAACAAAACAGCTCTCAATATATTTTTTGCAGACTTGTGATATTTTTATGCCGTTTGTAAGGCAAAGGAAAATCACCGAAAATTTATAATATTTTATTACCTACACAATAATTTTACAGACACATTTCAAATAATTTAACGAATAATATAAAAATACAACACACAATTTCATACATGAAAGGCTACAACCTACAACAAATTCATTAGCCACTGAATATCAGTCAAATTGTGGTCAAACCACCGTTCAGTTCTGTTCAACAAGAAAAAAAGTATTCCTGCATCCATTATTGCTGCGTTTGCGAGCTTGACGGTACCACATTGGCCTGTTGGAACTGCGCTTGCGGCTGTGATTGCGAATAAACATTCTCCTGAGGCTGACCACTGTAGGGATAGTCCTGAGAAACAGGACACAGGCAGGGTACTAGCTGCACGTGCTGAAGGTTGGGCACTGGAGCAAGCTGAGCTTGTAGAGGTACCTGTAGGGGAAGTTGTACAGGTACTGACGGTACTGCTCCAGGTCGACGATCTTCTATGGTGTACGGGGGTTGGATCACACGTTTGTGGTAGTAGTAGTTGGTTGCGGGGGACCTGGAAGTAAAGAATTACTAGACTTTGAATTGTTTGTAACTATTCAGCAAATAATCCGTTCAAGTTTTCAGTTGACTTCAGTTGACTGGGACGTGAAAAATAATAACTTTTATCGAAAAAGTAGAGACGTTTTATTATGGTCCGAAATTATACAACATACTCCCAGTAGAATTGAAAATTATCAAAGGAATTAATAAATTCAAACAAAAGCTCAAACAATTCATAATCGAAAACCCTCAAAAATTTGACATATACTAAAAGGAATAAAAAAGAATTTTACACATTGAATAGCAACTCCTATACCATTTGTATATTGTTGTATATTGTATTTGTATATTGTATTTTTTTTTGNGATTGAGCATGGGTGTAACATTTGACTAGTTCCGCAATTGTCGAAGTCATCAGGCCGTGGGTGCCACTGGGTCCTAAAATTCTTAGTCCAGCCGCTTCCTTGGCTGAAGAGTCGGCAATGCGATTACCTTTACTCCTGTCATACCCTTTAACCCACCTCAGGATAATGTTATTATCTGCCGAGGCTTTGGCTAAATCTTGGTGGCACTCTAGTGCTAGCCCTGAAGTAACACGCTGTCTGTTCAAGGCTACATCATTACTTAATCAATAATTATAAATAATTTCCATTTTCAATCAACAAATATATCAACACTAAACAGGCCAGAGATGATGCGGATGTTCTCATTTTTGAGACAGCTATTGAAGAATCTAAACGTCAAAGAAGAGCAAGATATTGATTTACTTGTGATTTTAATTGGGCGTACACTATCTTTTGAACAAAAAAGATAGTCACAAGGACTCATGTCTGCGAATTTGGAGGCTGATGAAGTGTGAGCAGATGCATTATCGTGGTGCTAAGTCATTGAAGGTAGTTCTCCTTATTGACCGCAGGACCTCATGACAAGAATTTATGATACACCATGCTATTGAAATCGAAGAACTTCAATCGCACTTTTCGAGCCTTTTTCGGTCTTGGCGAGATATAATGGCTCCACTGGGGCGACTCAGCTTTAGTTTCATTTGGTAACTCTTGAGCAACTTCCATTCGCCATTGTTTTTGTTCAAAAATTCAATAACTCTGGAACAAATTTCGTTGCCACAGATTTCATACCCAACATGATCAACTTCTTCGATTGTGATTCGGTGATCGTTCATTTTTTTCACGCTTTCATTGGTGGTTTTTTGATCTATTTGATCTATTTGTGATTTGTGTTTAGTTGTTATTGTCAAGTTATTGTCTATAGTGGAAAATCATGAATAGACTGACCCGTTACTTCATGAAAATTAATGACACTATCTGAGAATAGTTACACAAAATATTCACAAGCATTATTGTTTCTAGGCTCGTTTTCCTAACAACATAGCTTCCTCGGTAGAAACTTCTGCCGAGATGTTAACGAAGCGTGTCTAGAAATCTAGTTATTATCATGGATAGTGAAAAATTTAATGATAAAGTTATTTTTAGTCAGTTGTTCTAGTATTGAACCCTTTTGAAAATATTTTATTG